AAGTTATTACATTTCTTACTTGGTCAGTAGCAAAAAGAATTGACTATCTTGAAGATCATGTTTGCATCATTTTATCAACTCCATATCTTCATATAAATCCAATATGTCATATCTTCATTGGGAAGTGTTTGTCTCCTCCCTTTTTGCTGCCGTCTTGTTACTCCTAACTAGGTTAGGAGACCGCTCCCGCTCTCTTAAATAATTTAGGAGCTGAGACCTAGTCTTAACACTTAGGAACCTTTATGAATCACTCTTATTCTTAAGTCTAGGAATAAGAGTAAAATTTAAAACACACTTAAGACTAAACTTTTACTCTGAGCGGCTTTATACATACAGCCCCTGATGTGATTTACACTCAACATGTAAGTTTGTAGCAATAAAATATTCTCAACAACTTGTGATGGTGCAACAATTTGGCAGGGTTTTGCACCTAATTCAACATATACTGGCTTTATAACGTTACGTAAATTGTAAATGTCTTAAACGTAATGCTACAAGATAACATGAAACTAGTACATGGAAATTTTCTTCCTGATTCAGTTTGTAGTTACGCGTCAAACCCCGTTGCACACCGTTGCACACCGTTTCCAGGAAACATGTCGTTCAAACCGGAAACCGTAGCAAAACGGTGCACACCGGTTTGAGCTTGAACTTGCCCCAGGTCAAAGAACACACAGAAAAAGAACAGAAAGAAAAGAAAAGACCAGGAAGACTAATTAGTTTTGAACATGCACAATCCATTATCATATCAGCTGTAGCCAACAATTAAAATCCTACAACAGAGGCATTAATCTGGTGAAAGGATATTCAATTCAATACAGTAGTAGGGGTAGTAGTAGTAGTAATAATAATAATACATCCATGCTTCTTAATTATTAGCTTATTTTCTCTCTATCTGACATTCTGCCTGCAACTCTTGCCTGTTTTCTCCCATAAAAAAAAAAAAAATAATAATAATAATAATGAGGACTTGTTTAGGAGTACTGTGAATAATTAATTGCATAAATTTATTTAAACAGATAAAACAAATGCCCCAGAAAAAGTGATAACTTACCTGATATTTTTATTGTCTTCACTTTCTTACATAACTGCTACTAAAAATGATAATATAATATTTTTTGTTTACAAAAATATTCATAAAACATAATAATAATAACAATAAAACATTAATTTAGGAATATTTTGAAGAATATTATAGAATGAGTCACATAATGATGATT